AAGGAGAGTTATTCAAAGAAATCATGGATGGCATTATATTAGGAAATTTATTTAATATGTCATATTAGTAGACTAAAACATTGCTGGCCAGTTGCTCACTAAATCTATTCTTCTCCCTCCTAGGCACACCTAGACTACATTTCTCAGCCTCCCTTCAGTAGGATATGGATTTGTGACTGCTGTTGAAGTTGACCTTGATCCGCTAGCTGAAGTAGTGTTTGTCAGATTTTCCACTGTAAAGTTATTCTCCCCCCCTCCTCAAACACACACACACACATACAGTGTAATTTTTGGAAGGAAGCCACTATGCACTGCCCACACTTAAGGACTGAGTAGTAATGCTCCACCTTGAGGACAAGAGTATCTACAAAAATTATTCAGAATTCTGCACGGGAGATTTGTCCCTTCTCCTTCATTTATGTTTATTCCATAATTTATTTATGTCAGAATGGGCTCTTGGGGGTTTATTTTCTACTTTGGGTTATAATCCAGTATTACTTTATTTAGTTGCTCAAATTGCTCTAGCTTTGGCCACTGGAACTCTTTCAGTTGGCTCCTGTGTCCCTTTAACATACCCCCATCAAAATAATTTTTGTTTGTATGTTTGAGCACTTCCTTACTTTCTGGCACTGCAAAATGCTCTAGGCTCATCTTGTATATTTTCTGCCCCACTCCTAGAATCAGCCATTTGTCCTTTTATTGGAGAATGGTATTAGAAACCAAGATCTGGGTGCTATGTGTGCTTGTCGCTACTGAGATGTTGTTGCTTCTAGGAGCTCTCAGCTAACAGAAAAAGGAAATGCATGTGTGTAAACTAACCTATGTATATATGTTATTAGTTAAATATTTCGATATGTAATCATCTGGATCTATGTTAAGTGAAACAAGAATTCACATTCATGTCTCCAACTCTAATCCATTACCACATGGATCATTCTCTTCTCCTTCCCTTGCTTATCCATAAACTTGCACACTAACAGTGGGAAACTTGGTTCCAACATCTGCCATCTCTTTGCTTGTTTAATTCCAGTATACATGTAGCGCAGTATCAGAATAGGTAACCCATACTTCCGTGGGATACACCTTTATCAACTAGAGTACAATGCTTATATACAGTTCCTTTTCCCTTTAGTTTTACAAATTCCACTCATTTCCAAGTTACTTAGGTCAGCAAATTTTTTTTTCTAAATTGTATTTATTTTATTGTTGTTGTTGAGAATATACACAGCAAAACACATTAACAGTTTCTACAGGTACAATTTGGTGACATTGATTACATTCTTTGAGTTGTGCAACCATTCTCACCCTCCTTTTCTGAGTTGTTCCTCCTTCATTAACATAAAATCACTGCCATATAATCTTTTGAGTTGCTGTTGTCAATTTGATCCCATATAGGTAGTTCTTAAAAGAGCGTAATGCCCAAGGCAGACCTTTGTTACTGGTTAAGCTAAACTATTGTTTTGTTTAAGATGTCTTCAGGGGATATTTTTGGTTTAAGGTTCAGAGGTTACCTCAGGGCAATAGTTTCAGAGGTTCATCCAGCCTCTATGGCTCCAGAAAGTCTACCGTTCATGATAATTTTGAATTCTGTTCTACATTTTCCCCCTTTTGGTCAGGATTCTTCTATGGAATCTTTGATCAAAATGTTCAGTTATGGCAGCCAGGCACCATCCAGTTCTTCTGGTCTCATGGCAAAGGAGGCAGTTGTTCACTGAGGCAATTAGCCATACATTCCATATCCTCCTATTCCTGACTCTCCTTCTTTCTCTGCTCCAGGTGAATAGAGAGGTCAGCAACTTTTTCCACCATTCCCTTCAGTGAAGTTGTCTCACACATTTGTAATAGTTAGATTGTTTTATCACATTCTATATTCCAACCTGGGATTCCCTCACCTTCTAAATGATTTTTTTTTAATTTGCATACATTAAAGTTCACTGTTTGTGCTGTGAAGTTCAATGAGTTTTGACAAATGCATAATGCCACGTATCCACAATTACAGTATCATACATAATAGTTTCACTGCCCTAAAAAATCCCATGTACTTCACTTATTCACTGCTTCCACCCCTTCTCACGAACTCATTAAAACCACTAGTTTTGATTTTTCCAGACTGTCATATAAATTGGAATCATACAGTATGTAGCCTTTTCATATTGCCTTCTTTCACTTAGCCATATGCATTTAGGATTTATCATGCCTTTTTGTGGCATGATAGCACATTACTTTATTGCTGAATAATATTCCATTTTATAGATGTACTACAATGTTTATTCACCTAATGAAGGACATCTTGGTTGCTTTCACTTTGATATAGCTGCTATAAACATCTGCATGCAGGCTTTTACGTAGGCATAAGTTTTCAAACCACTTGGGTACATATCTAGGAATATGATTGCTGGGTTGTATAATAAGACTATGTTTAGCTTTGTAAAAAACTGCCAAATTGTATTCCAAAGTGGCCATACCATTTTGCATTCCCACTAGCAATAAATGAGACTTCCTGTTGCTCTGCATCCTCAGCAAAAATTGGTATTGTCAGGTTTTTTGGACTTTAGCCATTTTAATAGGTATGTAATAATATCTCACTGTTTTCCTTGTTGATATTTTTAAGTTACATGAGTTTTAAAAATCTGTGTCTTGTCCTTGTACTTGTGGATCTTTTGTCTTGTTTGATGTTTGTATCGATTCTTGTTCATGTTATATCGTCTTTTTGCGTGCTTAATTATGTTTGATTGTATACTGAATATTGTATTTGAAAACGTATTTGTAGAGTGTGTAGAATGACATTTTCTTCCTCCATAAAGGATTTTCATTTGCTTTTGCTTGGTGCCAGGGGGCACTACTAATCTAGAATTAAACCCATTGCCATTGATTCCCATTTTATGGTGACCCCATGTATTACAGAGTACATAGAACCGCTCCAACCGATTTTCTCGGCTGTAATTTTAACTGGTAGTCCCTGGGTGTTGCAAATGGTTAAGTGTTCAACTACTAGCCAAAAGTTGGTGGTTTGAACTCACCTAGAGGTACCTTGGAAGAAAGGCATGGTGATCTGCTTCCAAAAGGTCACAGCCTTGTAAACCCTTGAAGCAGTTCTACTCTGCACACATGGGACTGCCACGAGTTGGAATTGACTCGATGGCAACTAATAAAAGCAATCTTAACGGAAGATTTCCAGGTCTTTCTTCAGAGGGGTTCGAACCGCCAACCTTTAAATTAGTAGTCAATTGCAAACCATTTGTGCCACCCAGGAACAATCCAGAATTAATGTAATTTCCAGGTTTGAGATGTTATCAATCCACCCAGATAACCTGAAGCAGGGTTGTTTTACTTACAGTTCACACTTACTCTTAGGATACATCCCTTTGAGGTCCCAATTCTAAGTGTAGGTTAGTTTACCCAGACCTCTCTCTCCTTGTCCTCCAGCCTTTTGAAGCTTTTAATAAGACTGCTCTACCTCTCAGCTGCCTTTTCCCGATCAGCAAATGTTCCCTGGGCAAAAGTAGCTCCAAATTCTATTTCTGTGAATTTCTGCCTTCTTCCAGATCTTAGCCTGGCAATTCCTATCTTATTCATTGTTAAATGCTTTGGGTAAGATACTGTTTTATTTCATCTGTATTTTTTATATTTCTTTTTTTTGGAAGGTTTACAAAAATTACCTAATTCACTATCAGAAGCTAAAGGAGGGTCCTGAGTTTCCTTTGCTTCTCAACCCCCTAGGCCTCTCACTGGCTTAAAAAAGTTATGATAAATATGAAGTGTTGGTGAGGATGTGGAGAAACTGGAATCCTTGTGCATTGCTGATGGGAACGTAAAATGGTGCAGCCCCTATGGAGAAGTTTTGTGGTTCCTCAAAAAGTTAAACAGAATTACCATATGACCCAGGAATTCCACTCCCAGGTATATACCCAAAAGAATTGAAAACGGACTCAGATATGTGTGCAGCCATGTTCACTGCAGTATTATTTACAATAGCTAAAAGGTGGAAACAACCCAAGTGTCCATCGTCCAATGAATGGATAAACAAAAGGTGGTACATACATGCAATGGAGTATTACTCAGCCATAAAGAAGAATGAAATCCTGATACATGCTATGACATGGATGAACCTTCCAAATGTTATGCTCAGTGAAGTTAGACACAAAAGGACAAATACTGTATGATCAACTAATACGAAATCTAGAATAGACAAATGCAGAGACAAATATTTATTACCAGGGTCTGTGGCGAGGACAGAATAGGTGTTATTGCTGAGTGGGTACTGAGTTTCTGTTTGGGGTGATGTAAACTTTTGAAAATAGACAGTGGTGATGGTAGCACAACTTGGTGAAAGTAATCCATGTCACTGAATTCTACATTTAAAAATGGTTAAAATGCAAACTTTTTGTTATATGTATGTTACCATAATAAAATTTTAAAGATAGTTACGGTAAATATGGCTGTATAATTTATATTTTTGGAAAGAAATTATGATACATAAAAAAGAGTCTTGGCTGTCTAGTACTTTCCTGTTCAAAAGAAGCTTCTGGCTGCTTAGCCATGGAGCCACTGATCTGAGAAGTTATACCACTTCTTGGGCCAGGACCACTACACCTAACCATAGAATAATACTCCACAATCTCTTATACAAAGAATGTTTTATTACTGAAAAGATCACACAAAACAGTTTTTGTATACAAAGTTATCTGTTTAAAAATGTGGAAAAGTTACTATTTACAACATTTTCCATACAGTACATGATCATTTTTATGCTTTAACAGAATGCTAAAAAGAGAGAAAACCAAAAGCATTAGAAAATACCATTCAAGGAATAAAATTCAAGGAATAATATTTACTGGGCAACAAAATTAAGAAAATTATTTTAAAAATTTAACTATGTTGTATAAAGTACATCTTATTTTATCAGGACTACATTCGTCGCCCTATTTGAGTGGCACATTAATATTACTATCACATTTTTGAATGGTCACCAAAATCCTACTTAGCTGCAGAAATGAATTCTACATAATGTCTGGGAAAGATACTGTACAAAGTATTTATACTATTTGTAATGTTAAAAACAAAAGTTAAAAAAAAAAAGTATAAGTATAAGCAAACTGTAAATGGTCGTAATACAATCTCGGGTTGTCATGAACCATTAAAAAAGAAGAAATCAATTGCACTAAGCTTAGTTTATGAAAGACTAACATTTCATCTACTAATCCTTCAGGACATTATATTAAAAAAAATGCAGAAGGGTCAGTGAGCAGCATAATACAATCAACACTGGACACCTGAAGTAAGCACCTTATTTCAGTTATGTAATAATAGATCTTTGAGATTTCTAAAATAATGAGATATTATAAAATTCACACAATAAGACTTAAAGGTAGAATAAGTGTTCTTTTTTTTTAAGTTGAATTGCCATCATAACACCTTCTGGTGTGTCAACTATTTTTTATATTATAAAAGAATACTATTTTTCAATTTTCTTGGAAATTCAGTGTAAAAGCTACCAAAGTAGTGCTAAAATATCAGAATGATAATAAAATAATTTCCAGTATTTCTAAAAAAAGTTCAAATACATATAAACTTATTTTCAAATATATAAAAAAATACAAAGATAAGTTGTCAATATTTCAGCAAAGAAAAATCTTGATTTTTTTAATCATTACAGTGAAATAGCATAGTGCATCTTAAAATACTTTTAACAAGAGTAGAATCTTCATAAATAGAAAAAGAAGATTCCTTCTAAATCTCTCCTGCATGATTTAAAACATATTATTAACATGCACATTTCTATTTTTCAGGTATACTGCTGTCATTAACCTGTCTGTGAAATGAATCATGTTATCCTTGAAATCTATTTTTCTTCCAGTGTAACAGCAGGAATGTAGCTTCAAGTGCAAAATAAGAATGTAACAGTGAATCTTGTAAGACAGTGCATCGGTCACTTCCAGTGTAACATGAGTCCCCTTCTAAGCAGCGGGATAAACTGTGTTTGAACCATCTGGGTGACTGCCCGCACCCTGCTCTTTTCTAACTCCTGAAACCGAGTGAACAAGCAGTGATGTGGAACCTTTGAGGCTGCTGGGCTGGGAAGAACTGGGCACCTGCAAGTTGTTGGTCTGCACTGGGACAGTTTCAGTAAAATCACTTTTTGGACTTACCCTAGATAAAAGAAAGAAAGTTGACATATACACATACACAAGCACACCTATGAAGCCAGATGTCTTTATAACTGCTATCCACCTTTATCAAAGGATCATTAATGAAAACGCTTTATGTATACTCAAAAACTTCAAAATGCAAATAATATCAGATACAATTTTTGCTGACTGCAGAAACTTTATCAAGCACCACCATGCATGGGCTGAGCATAGTGTCTTGTGGGGAATACAATTAGTAAACAGGATTCCTGCCCTCAGTTTAGCAAATATTTTATTGATTTTCCACAATGGGTCAGACACCCATTCAAAGATGAGTAAGACCTCAGCTGTGCCTTCGAGGAGTGTACAAATCAAGTAGAGAAAAAAGCATGTATCTAGTTACAATCCACGTATGTGGAAGGTGTCATGGGGACACAGAGACAGTGCATTTAGCCTAGTTTGGAAGGGTTAGGTGAGATAACCCTTAACCCTGAGACCATAAAGTACTCAGCTGTCAGCATTCTGTTAATTAGATGTTTGCCAGTGTTCTGATCACCTTATGACTGTTTGGGCAAATTCATTCAAGATTATGTCAATATTCTCTCAGGTTTCGAAAATAAAAATATTTTATAATCATCTTTGCATAAAATGACAAATATCTTTTAGACAGTTTAATAATGTAGTACTAATGAAAACTTAGAGCCCTGGCGGCGCAGTGGTTAAAAGCTCGGCTGCTAACCAGAAGGTTGGCAGTTCACATCCATCAGCCGCTCCTTGGAAATCCTATGGGGCAGTTCTACTCTGTCCCATAGGGTCACTACCAGTCAGAATAGACTCGATGGCAATGGAAAACTGAAAACTTAATGGCTTGTATTTCAGATGAATCTTAAAAACATTCACCTAAATGTGCAAATGCCTCTTAACAATTACCATAGAAATGAACATTACTTCCCTACTTAAACAACGTGCATCAAGGCTCTTCTCAAAGCTGAGAATTAAACTACTACATAGCATATTTATAGGTAGGACCCAAATTTCCTAGAAAATGTGGAGTGTAAAAGTGTATAGACATGACATTTTCTGCTCATAAAATGCTTTCTTCCCAGATACGTTATGCTTTCATAAAAAATGTACTATGCAATATTCCAAATAGTGATGATTTTAGACAAGAAAATTAAATCTTACCTTCCTTCACTCCGCACACATTCAGATGCACTGCTCTTATCATTCACATTCGCTGCCTTGCCTTTTCTGTTGGCCTGCTCCCCAGAGAGTTTGGAGCTGGATGGTACTGGGGAGGAAGGTTCACCACAGTCCTGTTCTCTTAATTTGGGCGTGCTTGCCCCATCTGCTCCCATGTCTCTCACTGACGTTTCTAGTGAGGTTTGGATTTCTGTAAAAGTTTCTTGTCCTAAGTAATCGTGGTTAGTGACTGCTACTGTAGAAGTGCCATGATTTGCTGTAGCTCCTGTGCTGGTTCCCATGGATTTGGAAATGACTTTCAGCTTATGTGAAGTTGGTTTGTAGTGCTTCTTTTTGTGTTTAACTTTAGAATTGTGCTTTAAGAAAAACTCACATGACTCCTGTAGCACTCTTCGACTTTCACTGATTGGACTGTAAGAAAATCCAAGGGAAAGATTTACTTGATAAATACTGTTATAGTAGAAGCCACAGAAAGCAAAAACCAAAACCAAAACGCAAACAAGCTGCCATGGAGTTGATTCCAACTCATGGTGACCCCATGCATGCAAACTAGAACTGGACACCATAGGTTTTCAAGGCTGTGACCTTTTGGAAGTAGATCACCAGGCCTTTCTTCTGAGGTGCCTCTGAGTGGGTTTGAACTGCCAACCTTTTAGTTAGTAGTCATGCACTTAACCATCTGTACCACCAGAGATTCCATAAAGCATGTATCTTTGGCCAAAAATCATTATGCATTAAAGTTAGAAATTCTATACAGTTTATATTATTTATAAACTCTGAGTTTATAAATACTATGACATGTAAGTAGATTGCCATAAAGTGAAATCTTTTGTACATGTACTATTTGTTGCTTTTGTCTGTCAGCAAAAGTGTTAGACTGATGAGAAATTAAACATGCAAAATCAAATGATGAGGGCAAGGAAACACAAAGCAGCATAAACAGGGGGACTATCTGTAAGTATATCTATTTTAAAAAACATAAAAGTAAACTAATGGCAATCAAACTCTTCAGAAAGGCAACCAGAAGAGAAAGGATATAGAATACAATAATCTTTATTTAAATGTAACCGCTTTCTAACATTAAAGTAAGAAAGCTACACTGAAGTTAGTGTGGGCATATAAATACGAGCTAGACATGTAATAATAGAATGTATGAAAAAAATTAAAGCTCACTTTTTCTGCCCTCAAAAATTATTTGTGAAAAAGTCTACAGTTCTGAAATTTATACCACAAAAAAGTTCACTAATCAGACCAATGTGGAACAGTTTTTCAAAGTCTATAGTAATTTGTTGATAGTACACTGTACACCATGTATATAAATAACTAAAATGAATTATTTACTCATAAATGTAAATCTAGTACATTGTTCCAGAATATTCTGTGAATTTGAGTTTTTACCACTTTAGTAGGGCAAATAAGTGAAAGTTAGGTCAGAATAATGAGTAATAGAACTTAAATCTATTAGTCCTACAGGGTTGCTATGAGTAGAAAATCGACTTGATGGCAATGGGTATGGTATGGTATGTAGTAAATAATGATCATAACATCACTTACAGTGAATTGTACTTCATAGACATTCTTATATACTTGATCCCATTTAATCCTCATATTATTGATAAAATGAGAAAACTATTAAAAATGCCACACTCAAAATACTAAATTAAATGACAATAATAATAAACAGAATAGTATATGTCAAACACTGTTAAAACAAATGCCAAAATAAAGCATATCTCTCCATGAAAAAGATTTCCAAACATTAGGTAGCTCATGAAATTCAAGCAACAGCTGATACAATGAAACTCCAGTACAATGATGATTTGAATAGTTCCTTGGTATTTGATCTGTTTATATTTAAACAATGTCAGAAAATGTAATAGTTTCTTACTCTCTCTTGTGATTTCGTTTAAAAAACCCAGCCCATTCTGTGCATGTCTTTTTGCTTCCAACCCAGAAGACAGCAGAGATACCAACGATTAATGTCATCAGATATTTTATCATAAACAAAGCCAATTCCGGTCGAGCTGTTGTTTTTGCCTGCAAAAACAAAACAAAACATGAATAATATAAATTTCAGTGGTGGATTTAAAGCAGAGAGAAAAGTCTATACAGTCAATGTAAAAGTTCAACAAAAAGTATAAATCTTTGAAGTCTGTTTTATTGTAAGAGATTTGAAATAACTAATATAATAAATGGTGCTTTAAATGCAATACATTCTTTACTGAAGTTCTGAACAACCAGCAAAGAATCTTTATCTGTATATCAAAATATAGAGCTAGAAAGGGAAAGATATTGAAATACTGATTTCTTGGCATTTTCCCCGTAAAGTTAAATCACTATCTTAAAATCGCTAAACTACCTGCATCTAAATATTTACCAATTTTCCTTCATGATAATCTACCACACACAAAAATAAGTACATTTAGATTCATTATAACAACACATTATTTTAGATTTTGTTAAAAAAAACTTGGTTGGTTATAATAAAATAAATATCAGTGTCCCAAAAGTGTTAGAATGTGGAAATTTCATAAAAAATCATACTTTTTCTCCAAGTATAAACGTTTATATATTATTTTTTTAAACGTTGCACGAATGTCAAAGTACTATACATTATATACGATATCTTGCTTTTGGCACTTAAAATAGTATTTCTTGGAGACCATTTTATGTCAGAACAAACAGAACTCTTCACTCTTTTTAAAGGCTGCCTAATATTTCATCGCATGGATGAACCATAATTTATTTAACTATCCCTATTAATATTTGGGAGCCCTGGTGGTACAGTAGTTAAGAGCTCAGCTGCTAGTCAAAAGGCTGGCAGTTCAAATCCACCAGCCACTCCCTGGAAACCCCACGGGGCAGTTCTACTCTGTCCTATGGGGTCACTACGAGTCGGAATCGACTCAACGGCAACGGGCTGGCTTAGCGATATTTACTTCCAATCTCCTGCCATAGCAAATAATGTTGCAGAGACTATCTTTGCACATATGTCACTTCTCACACATTTATGAGTACATCTGTTGATAAAATACAAAGCGACGGGATATAGGTGCATTTTAAATCTAAGAGATATTGTCAAATTGCTCTCCACAGAAGGCTGTACTAATTGAAACGTTCAACAGCAAAGTCTGAAAAGGCCTATTTTGCCACACTTTCACCAACACAGTGGTTATAAAAGCTTTAGTTTTTTTCCATGTCCTAAGAATTTAATGTTACTATATTTTGAATTTCTTTTATTATAACATTTGTTCACGTTTAAGACAAGTCTCTTGATTTGCGTTTTTTGTGAACCCTCTTCATATTCTGTTCCCATTTTTATATCAGATTGCTGTTTTTTTTCTTATTGATCTGCTGGAACTCTTTATAAATTAAAGATGTTAGCCCTTCAACTATAAAGTAAGTTGCAAATAAATTTTCCCAGGTGGTTTTTTTTTTTTTATTATTATTATAGTGTTTTTTAAATGTTTAGTCAAGTTTAGCAATCTTTTATTTCATGGTTTCTGAGTTTTATATCATCTTATAAAGTCCTTCTCGATTTTAAGATTATAAAATTATTTTCTCATTTTATCCTCTAATACTTTATAGTTTTTTTTAACATAAAATATAATTTTTACGAACTGTAGATCTTAAAGGTTTTAACAGTATGTGTTTGCTTTTCCAGTCTGCCAATAAGACTGAGGAATCTGGGAGACATTTTAATATAGCAGGACTGCCTTAGGACATAGTTCTCTTATTAAGTATATAGTAAAAACAGACTGTGCATAGCTTGTAAGGCAAGTAAAACTATTATCCCCACATCAGTATAAAAACTAGGCTCCACTTTCTAGAATATAAATTATTACATAAAACAATTTAGCCCGCACATTCCTTGACTTGATACACTGTGATGATAGAATTACTCATTTAATGTAATGAATATTGTCTTAGTCATCTAGTGCTGCTGTAACAGAAATACCACAAGTGGATGGTTTTAACGAAGAGAAGTTTATTTCTTCATAGTCAAAGTAGGCTAAAAGTCCAAATTCAGGGCGTCAGCTCCAGGGGAAGGCTTTTTCCTCTCTGTCGGCCTTCTTCTCTTCAGGATTCCCCCGGACTAGAAGCTTTTCTGTGCAGGGACCCCTGTCCAAAGGACGCGCTCTGCTCCCGGCACTGCTTTCTTGATGGTATGAGGTCCCCCTGTCTCACTGCTCATTTCTGTCTTTTATATCTCAGAGATTGCCTCAGGACACAATCCAGTCTTGTAGATCAGGTCCTGCCTTACTAACACAACTGCCACCCATCCTCCCTCATTAACATCATAGAGGCAGGTTTACAACATACAGGAAAATCACACAGTACCAGGAATCATGGCCTAGCCAAACTGATACACACATTTTTTGGGGGACATAATTCAAACCATGACATTCCACCCTTTGGCCCCCAAAACATTACATCCTTGCAACATGGAAAACATATTCACCCCATCATATCATAGTAAAAGTCTTAACTGCAAGTCCAAAATCTAAAAATTCCTCTTCATCTGTGAAATCCAGAATACAAGTTATCTGCTTCCAAAGGTACAATGGCAGAACAGGCACAAGCTAGACATTTCCATTACAAATGGGAGAAACTAGAGGAAAAGAAGTGATAACAAGCACCAAAGCAAATCAGTAGAACACATTACATTAGCCCTCGAGGCTTTGAAAATAATCGTCTGTTCTCCGAGACAATTTACAAAATGGCCCTGCCCTCCAGACTACGTATTGGCCACAGTCTCTGGATTTTGAGTGGAGGCCCCTCGGCCCTGGGCTTCAGCTTGGCCTTTCAGGCCCACTGGGACAGCAACTGTTCCCTTGGCTTTAGGCGCACCATTCTCCCAGTCCATCTGAGTGGCATCTCCACCCTTAGAAGCACCAGAGGCCATTGCTCCACCCTTTGAAACCTCTGAGGTCAAGGCCATACCTTTTAAGACTGAGGCAGCTAGTCTTCTTGTGTCCCTTGTCTCTTCAGCTTCTGCTTCTATTTCCTGTGGCCTCTTGGCCCTCGGGCCTCATGCCTGCATTTGCCCTGCTGGGGCAAGTGTTCCAAAGCTCTGTAGCTCTACCGGTATAAGTGCCCGGAGGCACCCCACTCTGCCAGAAAGCCTCCTGCTCACAGGCATTCAGCTCTCTTGCTCCGTGGGTTGGCTCCAGCACCGTCTTGCACCAGTCTCCTGGTTCTGCTGCTGTTGGTTCTCTGCCACTGCTGCTTCTCTGCTGCTGTAGGTTCTCTGCTGCTGCTGGGTCCTCTGTCACTGCAGCACGTCTATCCATTTACAGTTTTAAAACCGCTTCCACATTTTAGGTATCTGTTAGAGCAGCACCCCACTCCCGGTACCAAATTCTGTCTTAGTCATCTAGTGCTGCTGTAACAGAAATACCACAAGTGGATGGTTTTAATGAAGAGAAGTTTATTTCTTCATAGTCAAAGTAGGCTAAAAGTCCAAATTCAGGGCGTCAGCTCCAGGGGAAGGCTTCTTCTCTCTGTCAGCCTTCTTCTCTTCAGGGTTCCCCTGGACTAGGAGCTTCTCGGCGCAGGGACCCCGGTCCAAAGGATGCGCCCTGCTCCTGGCACTGCTTTCTTGATGGTATGAGGTCCCCGTCTCACTGCTCACTTCTGTCTTTATATCTCAAGAGATTGCCTCAGGACACAATCCAGTCTTGTAGATCAGGTCCCGCCTTACTAACACAACTGCCACCCATCCTCCCTCATTAACATCATAGAGACAGGTTTACAACATACAGGAAAATCACACAGTACCAGGAATCATGGCCTAGCCAAATTGACACACACATTTTTTGGGGGGCATAATTCAAACCGTGACAAATATCATACATAAATATTCAAGAATAATGATTAAAAGTTATTTTTAAAAAACCCAAAATTTCTATAGATAAAACCACCACTAAAATGCTTTAAGATTTTATATTTTTAGAAATTGACTATTTCAATCTTAAAACACTACTTTAGTACTGACAAACATCAAACATATGAAACGTATTTTGCTTCAACTTTTTTTTAAGTTAAGAAATAAGAGGTTTAGGCAAAAATCAAGTTCTGTTTTTATAACAATGCAATAAATAATGCATAAGCTGCAAAAAATAAAGATAATATAGTAATTAATAATAATATATCTTCAGGTAGTTGGACTACAGAGAGAAAATACAACACTTGTGCCAGCATGGGTATTTTATCCAAATAAGGTTTTTTCTTATTTTAAAGAAATAAAAACAAGATCACACAAGACTTAAAAACAATCTCCAATTCAGCAGAAGTTACTTCTCTTTTTCTTCCTATGACAGTCCTTGTGATGTATCCTGGGACTCTGTTCTTCATTACTACCATGAATCTGTCTCTGCAACTCAATTTTTAAAAGAATAGCTAAAGGAAGCATTCTACAATTTTAACCGAAGCTCAAGCTTGAGGAGAAAACCCTTGAGACATTTCCTCAGTTTCAGCTGATTTATAGACTATGTCTGTTGGGTTTTTCTCACCTGAAATCTAATTTTACGTCCATGACTAATAACGGTATATATCTAGGGAACATTTTCTAAGTTAAAATTAAATAGTAAAATAATCCAAACGATAACTTTTACCTGATAAGGGCATGGGATATGGTACTGACGACAATGATCAGAAACCCAAGTTATCTCCCAGGTAATTCTATTCACTTGCTCGTAGACATAACATCCAAGAAGTGTCACTAATGGTACAAGATACAGGCCACTGAAGACTCCAATCCGAATCATAAATTTCTTTAGTTTCTCTTGGTTTCGGCCATCATGTTGTATAACTTGTCGAACATGATTTAAAGAAACAATTCCAGCTAAAAGAAGAGACAGCCCAACAAACACACAAAGACACAGTGGCAAGAGTACAAAATAGCGAGAAGCATCCAGGTCATAAAGGCCAACAAAGCAAACTCCACTGATATTGTCTCCTTCAACTTTGTTCATAGCAAGAAGCATAACAGTTAGAAAACCTGGTATTCCCCACGCGACAGCATGGAACCACACTGCTGTTTGTTCAATGGCTTCACAACTCCATTTTCTTCCTGCAGCTAAGAACCAAGTAATGGTAAGAATCACCCACCACACAGTGCCGGCCATTGTGAAAAAATACAAAAACATAAACAAAACAGTGCAAGCCTTATTCTGAGAGCCTAGAATAACTGTGTCACCAAGTTCTAGCTTCTCATCTGCCTTATTACAGGCTGTGCTATTGCCGAGCAAAAAGCCAGTAAAGTACATAAGAGATACAATGCTGTAACAGACAGAGTAATATATAATTGGTCTCTCCGGGTATCTAAACCTTTTAACATCAATTAAAAAAGTCAGAAATGTGAACAGAGTTGCACAAAGACAGAATATTGAAACGATCCCGATAAAACTTTTTGCAAACTCTAGCTCATCACTTTTAAAATACATGTTGGGACATGGAGGTGCACAATGGTCAAGGCCCAGAAACTTATAGCCTTGTTCCCCAGAGGTCTTGAGATGTCTTGGACACCAAAATCCAATGTCTCTTTGGACTTGTTCTGTTTTCTTCTGAGGGTCAAGCTTTGTGGGTAGACCAGAAGTTGCAGGAACTGTCTCATCACAGTACTGTAATCTGTAAAGATTATAAAAATTAAATACATGACAACAACATTTTTTACTGATTCACTATTTTAATGCTATGCTTTTCAACTGTAAAGTATTACCTTGTGCGTTCATAATTGATGGGAAGACAGACAAACCTAAGCAGATTACAGGTTAGAGTTGGCCCAGGAGAGTACAACTTCGTGAAGGCAAGGCAGATATACCTTTTGGGGGAAAAGTTTGACTATCATAATAAAGACAGAAAAAAGAGCAAGAGAAAAACAGAATAACAGAAAATGATAAGATTCCATAAACCCTTAAGTGGTATGGTGAACATGCACTGCTGTAGGAAAATAAAGAGTGAGAAAAGAGAAGTACAACAGGTCACAATGAGAGGGATTAATCTATTGGCAAACTATCAGAGAACAGCTTGACCTAGAGCTGAGAAGAGAGCTCGTTTGCCACAAAACTCCTCACACACAAAGGGTGCTCTGACAAGCTGAGGATCCCAGAGGCCACAAAGAATTAATGAACCTTTTACCTTACTTCCAAGGCAAAGGCACTGGGAGACAGGGGCACCCTTCTGAGAAGCCAAGAGTTCCATGTATGTCATAACCACAGAAATGAACAGTTTCTCAAATAACAAGAACGTTTATATGTTTCCACTACGTAGCTAAATATATGTTTTATTATGCTAAAACCTTTAAACAAGCCAGAATTAGAGTTTCAATCAGAAGCTTCTTATTTTGTTTTTCCAAAGTAAAGAAGATACTGTAGAGGCCTAGAAGTCTTACTTATAGAAATGAAGAAAGTAAAATTTCTCTGGTATAAAAATACCAGAATTATTCTTACGTGCAACTGACCACTTAACATTTTACTAAAGGGATGCTTGTGATTTTTCAACATAGAGATAATTTTTTAAAATGGACTGTACATCCCAATTATAGGAGAGACCAGTCCCTGGTGAAGGACATCATGCTTGGTAAGGCAGAGGGTCAGTGAAAAAAAGGAAGACACTCGATGAGATGGATTTCCACAGTGGCGAAACAATGGGCTCAAATATAACAACAATTGTGAGGATGGCGCAGCACCGGGCAGTGTTTCATTCTGTTGTACATGGGGTCACTATAAGTCAGAACCAACTCGATGGCACGTAACAACAACAACATCCCAATTTAATATATCAAACATTCTCAAACATGAAATGAATTTTATTTGGTTTAATTATAAGAAAAATGTATCCATGTATCAAAAGATCAAACTACAAAGATCAAAACTCCAAACGGGTGGGGAATTACAAATCAAGTGGCAGAGCAAAGTGCTGCAAGTTTTATAACCTCCCCTGCTTTGAAACTTAGTAGGCAATCCCATTAAAAAAGAGTAAGTATTCAGTAAATTAAAGTGTCATTTAAGATAAAATATACACCATGAAACAATAACAAGATTTTTGGAATCACAAAAATAACTAAACATGGTTATGTATTCTTTTTCTCCACATGCCTTATCACCTTCTAACAGAACTTATTTCATCTTCTCCCTCCCTCCACTAGAATGTAAGCCCACCAGGGCAGGAGTTTTTTTCTGCTGTATCCTTGGTGTCCAGAACAGTCCTGAAAACATAGTAAGGGTGCAATAAATATTTGCTGACAGAATCATCAGTTTTCTCTCCTCTCCTTTTGTTGTTATCATCCTTGATGACTTGACCATCCACATGGACAGCCCCTCAACATCCTGGCTTCTCAACTTCTTAACCTTCTCATCTCCGATGACTGTCCCTATCCCACTTTGGCCACCTATAATCACGGTCACACAATGAACCCCGCCACAACCTGTAACTGTACACTGCCTCCCAAAATCACTAACTCAAGAATCCTGCCCTTTGACCACAGTTCCTATCCTTGCAGCTGATTTAAAAATTGTGATTTTTTTTTTTTAATATTACTGGGATCGCCATTACCTTTTCTCAAAACATCAGTCCTTTCCTTTCTTCCTTTCACTCCTCGTCCACTTAGGTGCTTAATGTCTATCATTTTAGTAACACCCTTCCCGGTATCGTTAACTTTGTTGCCACTCCTTTGACTTGTCACTGAATCTATCTGGGAAAACCCCAACCATAGATGAACTATCTTCTTTCTCTGTACTTGCCCCCAAAAATCCTAGCACTGCTGGAGAGGGTCAATAGGTCAAATGAGATTCATTACAAATTCAGGATCACCTGATTTACATAAAAGGTTAGTCTCTCCAGTCTACTCACTTTCCCACCCTCTATATTACCACTGCCTTCAAACTTGCATCCTTCCTCCTTAGATTCCTACTACTTCACAATGAAAATAGAAATCATCAGATAGGAATTCTCACAGTAACTCTTACCAAACTTATAAGCCCGACCTACGTCTGTAACCATCCTATCCTCTTTCCCTCCTGCTACAGTGAAGGCTATCCATGGCCAATCCTTTATCTGTGCTTGGAACCTTATCTCCTTCTCAGAAAACTGCTACTACTGATTATTCTTTCTACCCCATATACACTTGCCTCTTCCTTATGATCTCCTTGTAGCCAGTAAGAGTAGTCAGTTCTTTCCCATTAAAAAAAAAAACTCCAACCTTCTCCTTCTGGCTACCACACATCTCTTCTTCTCTCTTAATAGTCATATTTTCTGCCAATTATCTATATAGCTTGCTTCACTTCCCACTCACTCCTTCACCCATTGCAATTTGTCCTCTGCCCCACCACTCTAGTGAAATAGTATGAGCTAATGTTCTTACTAGGAGCCCGGGTGGTACAATGGTTAAGCACTTGGCTGCTAACCAAAAGGCTGGTGGCAGTGGCTCCAAGGGAGAAAAGACCTGGCGATCTGCTCCTGTAAAAATTTCAGCCTAGGAAACCCTATAGGGAAGTTCTATTCTGTACTATAGGGTCGCTATGAGTCAGAATGGCCTCTACGGCACCTAACAACAACAATGTTCTTATTAGCCAGCAGCACCTGACACTTTCTCTTTGAATATCCTTTTCCTTTCTGGACACACATTTCCCATTACCCCTAGTAGTTCAGCTGTAACCCTGTGACTGACATCTTGCCAACAGGGATGTGAAGGGGAAAGATGTGATACATTCAAGAAAAGGTGCCAGTTCTCTACATTCCTGCTCTCCTATCCACATGGCTGCCAGAGCTGCAAGACAGAAGCAGCCTAGATTCCTAAGGTGAACTGCCAAAGACAGCTTGACCAACCCTCACCAGGCTGTGACATAAGAACCATGCTCTACACACAGGAGTCAACATGATCATCCCCAGCCTGTCCCCCAATCTCTATCTTCAAATACTTCAAGAGCTTCTCATTGCCCTTAGCATAAAAGCATACAGTACGAGGCCTTGAGTGGCCTGACTGCTGCTTCTCTCTTCTTTCTTGTCTTGCCCACAGTCTTACCAATATCACTCCAGTCACACTGGACTTTTAATTCCCTGAATATGCCAAGTTCTCTTCTACCACAGGGCCTCTGAACAAGCTACTCCCTCTGCCTAAAATGCTCTTTCCTCCCCTCAGTGCCTAGTTACTTCTGTTTTACCTTTGGACTTTAGCTAAATAGTTATCTCTTCAAGAAAACCTTCCCTTTCCCCCAGTTTAGGTCAAATGTACCATTACATGTTCTTATAGAACCATGCAATTCTCCTTTGTTGTATCTACCACAGTTGTAACTTTGCATTTATTAGTACAATTATTTGATTACTATCTGTCACTCCCACCACGCTGTAAGTTCCCTGAGAGAAAGAATCATGTCTGTTTCTGCTCACCATTGAGTCCCCAACAGTTATCACCATGGTGTCTGGCATATACCAGATATACAATAAACATTTGTTGAAGTAAGCCTCTTACTAGCATTTTGGAGATATAACCAGTATTAAAATACCATCAATAGCTTTTAGTCAAAAAACATAATTTACCTGTTACATTCAAGTTCCTCAGGCCATTGGATGTCAAAAGTGTCAATTATTTTTTTACAATCAGAATATACTTTCTCACAAAATTTACGGCAAGGTGGAACCACATGAATTTGTTCTGTGCAGCTTGGTACAAAAGCTTTACAAAGGAAAGTTTCAACATTTGGTGAACATTCCAGATTTGCAAGAGGAAGAAAATGCTATAAAGTAAAACAGCAAGATAAGGTTAGAAAATATTTTACTAATGAGGGAATGAAATTAATTCATTTATGTTTAAAGTATACTTTTCCACTATATTTCCAAAAGAATGTTTAAATTTCCCTCTCCATACAACCAAATTTTAAGAAGATAATTTTGTTTAGTCTGTTAGACTTATGAGCCCATCATACATAATGGAGTACTATTATTTTATCAATTACACAGTTTTCGAGAAGACATGCTAAATCAAAACAAATCAAAAGCATGATTTGCTTGCTAGCTGAAACAAATTATTCTAATATTCAATTTACATCTATATGCTGTAATACCTTAACACCAAACTAGGATTCTGGAAGACAAAGGAGTGTCTGGGACAGAAGGAACAGCATGAAAAAGGCACAAGGAGTGTGAGAACAAGGGGCATTCAGGGCAAGAAGCTCAGAGGTCAGAGAGGTGGAGTCAGGGACAGAGTAGAGAGATGAGACTGGAAAAGTAAGCTGGACATGATCATAAACAGTACAAATGACATGCTAAATCTCTTGGATTTTATCGTAAAGGAATGGGATACTATTGGAGAGTTTTAAGCAGGAAGTGACTTGAGAGTCTGACAGCTTGAGTTTGAATCCTGGCTCCACACTTACTAGCTGTGTAACTTTGGGTCAAGTTATTTAACTTCTCTGTGCCTTAGCTTCTTCATCTGTAAAATGAGAATAATAACAGTATTTGCCTCAAAAGATTGTTGCGAGGACTGAGTTAATAAATCTAACGCACTTAGAACTGTGTCTGGCATATAGTAAGCACTCAATAAATGTTAGTTATTGTGATGATTATACTTCAGAGAGTTCTGATAAATTCTGGGTAAACACGGTAGACTGACCACATATGTTTATCTCCTTTCCCTCCTCCTTACTCTGACAATAAAGATAAAAAAAGGTTCTAATTCATCAGGATAAAGTGAACAGGAGAGACTCCACTAGGTTAAGGATATAGATTTGGAAGTCATCAGTATAAAAACGATAATTGAAATAACTGAATGGAATTACCTAAGGAGAACATGCAAAGTACAAGAAAATGAAAATTCTAATTAGAGGGAAATGCACTGAACCTACATATTAACATCCTTTCTTTCCAAATGCCATTGAAATGAGAGAAAAGGTTTAACAATAAAAAACGAAATCCACAGCTGTACACACACACACCAAAAACAAAGGGGGTGGGGGTGGGGAGGAGGTATCATCAGTGAACTATAAACTGAGAAATTTCTGAAAGATAAAAAGAAGGGATGAGGTCTTCTGCTTTCAGCAATATGGCCAACTAAATATTAAAAAATGGTCTCCTGCCACAAAACATTCAGATTCTGGATAAATTATAACAAATACACTTTAAAATGCATTGCTGAGCACTGTACACACCTAATGAAATAGCTTTAAAATACATTTTGCAAAAAAATGACAAAAAGACAAGGAGAAATGAGCAATTCCATGATCATAATGAGAAGTTTCAACACATCTTCTTAGTAAATTAAAGGTCAAAAGCAGACAAAAAATTAATAATAGGAGATTTGATTAGAACACTACAATCAACAAGTCTGATTTAAAGGGCACATACAGAATCCCACACCCAACTATTAGAGAACTGCAGCCTTGGAGGATGTTGGGCCAGTGGAGAGTCCACCCTGTCCTGATGGGGAGGACCAAGTGACTGAGGAGGGAGGCCTGCGCAGTTGATGTACTATATCTCTCTCACATGAAAGATGCTCTGAGACCTGACCCTCTGCCCCTTAATAGGAACTGGTCGGAAAGCAAACAGCACAGCACTTTTCTCAATCTCCTCTATCCCACAGGCAGAGTGTCCTCCTCTGGGCCTGATGTGGGAAAACGGAGGCATGGGCAGGTGGCGCAATGGTTAAGTGCTCAGCTGCTAACCGAAAGGTCAGTGATGCGAACCAACCAGTGGTTCTACGGGAGAAAAGACCTGGCACTCTGCTCCCATAAAGATTACAGCCTAGGAAACCCTATGGGGCAGTTCTACTCTGTCATATAAGGTAACTATGAGTCAGAATTGACTCGACGGACACAACAATTTTTTTGCTTACTGTCCCAAATAAGCCTAGTTTCTAATTTTTTTGAGTGTCTGGTAATTAGACTCTGCAGTGGAGAAAATTAAAACAGACTGTGTTTAATTCTTCTAACTCAGAAGTCACTCTGTAACAGCATGACAGCACTTAAGAACTATTATTGTCCCATTCAATGGCAGGCAAAATGAAAAAAATACATGTACATTTGCTGTAGTAAAAAAATGTTCTTGAAGAGTAAACATGGCAAGTCATTTCCTTTCTTTAATTCTTCTAAAGTACCAACACTGGCTAATCCGATACTGTTGACGTTCATGCAATTTGCAGAATATAAATAAATCAGAGGTCAGGCAGGTAAATTTAAAAGTATATGACAATAGGGAGTAGTTGGGTAGCAGTTGCTACTTAAGTCCAACAGACTGTCATTTGGGAATGTAGACCCAGAATTGTCAGGTATTTCAATTGTTTGAAAGAAAACAATCTGGATTTTTATGTAAAATCTCCCAGTTTTTAAATTTTGTCAATTTAAGTTAAATATGTAAAACACTGTATGCACAGGACAAACGCGTTCAGGTCAGATCCACTGTGGGCCACCAATTTTCAAGTTCTGTTGCAGACTCTATTAATAGACTTAAAGAATTTTAGATTTGGAAGGGATCTGACAGAACTTTTAATGCAATTATTTTCAAAGTGTGTGTATAAATTCTGCCAAGGAACATTTCTTTAAATAATAGGTTACAGAGGAGCCTAATATAGTAAATAAATAAAAGCACAGCTGCTCTGGCTGAAAAGGAAGCCCTCCCTGTGGAACACCTCTCACTCTTTCTCTCCCCTACCATGACCTCAAAGCACCACCACAGATCAGTTTGAAAACCACTGACCAAACCCACAGACTACAAGTGAGAAAGGTGAAGTTGAGATATTAAATTTCTTACTGAAATTCAAACATCTAGCCTGAATTAGAATCCTGATGTCCTTATTCCTGATTCAATGCTATTTTTACTAGTACAAGCCCTGGTGGCACAGTGGTTAAGAGCTCAGCTGCTAACCAAAAGGTTGGCAGTTCCAATCCACCAGCCATTCCTTGGAAACCCTACGGGAGCAGTTCTAGCCTGTCCTATAGGTTGCTATGAGTTGGAATCGACTTGATGGCAACTTTTTTTTTTTTTTTTAATAGCTAATGACAATAAATCAAGAGTTTTGCTTTATGTAGCCCTTACTATAAGTTAGGCACTGTGCTTTTTCATATATCTTTACAACAACCCTGTGAGACAGATATTCTATCTCCACCTTGCAAACAAGGGAACTGAGGATCTGCGAGATTAAGCATTTTGAGTAGAGTTGCATAGCTAGTAAGTGGCGGAACCAGAATATGAACCTGGGTCTGTATCACTCCAGAGCACGGCCTCTTTAACCCTTACTCTATGCTGTCACCTACTCTCCCTGAAAACTACTCTTCCCCAAAGGGGAAGGAAAGATATCAAAAGAGGATCAGGAATCTTCTACATGAAAGAAATCCTTCAGTCTGAAAAAATAAGTGTTCGCAAGGCATGAAATCAATGACTGTAAGATCACTCAAGCTATGCTTATCACATTCCAGATGACGTCTGTACCTCTTGAAGCAGGTAGTTTTGGAACAAATAATTTTAGACCAAATAATAATACTTTAAATAACAGGTAGTCAGGTAATTATTGAACTCATCATCCCAATCAGTTGAAAACATAAACAGGATGAGCATTATTTCCCTAATCTTTTGAAGTAAAAATCTTTTATGCTCTTCTACAATATACCCTGGGTACCATTCTTAGAAACCAAACCTTGAAATGGAAAGACTGCTAACCTATCTCATTATGACATTTCTTATGCTCTTAATTTTATAGTCTGAATTCCATCATATTATTAAACTAGTATTTAGCATGATAAGTGCTATATAAACTGTGAATTAAGCAAAGATTCAAACTCCCTGGTCTCTTCAGTCTGTTCTCTTTCTTCTTCATTAGTGACAGATCTTCTCCAGTCTTCTCAGTAACCCAGTACCTTCATGATCTTGCTCACGAATTTCCCCTTTTCAAATTTAATTCCTAGAGATGGCTCAGAAACTCATGCAGTAACTAACCACAACATAAAGTGTCAGTTATGTTTTTGAAATTCTACCATTCAACAGTAACTAAAATAGTTCTCTTCTGATTACAGTTTTTGTGCTCAGAGAAATAAAAGGTGAGCTTCCTTAAGAAAATGGTCAGTCCCTGGCAGTAATTCAGTGGTAGTTACTACTAGTACTGGCAGGGATGAGGAAGATGATGACAATTAAGAAGGCAATTCACACCTCCATTCTGAAATTAGCCAGAGCAAAACAGTATATAAAAAACAAAAGGATAATAAGAAGAAAATACCTGGAGTTTTTTTTTATATACTCCTTCGTTGGAAATAATGCCAGCATTTTAATTCTGGTCCTAGCTCTGCCATTAACTACCTGCGCCACCTCTGGCAGATAATTTTCCATCTTTGAATCTCAAAGTATCCATCAGTAAAATGAGAACAATGAACTGCTGGATGATCTCTAAGGACACTTCTGGCTTTAAAAGTTTATGAAGAGGGTAGCAAAGACTTGATTGGCTGAGCTGGAGATTAATTTCAAAACAACTGTAGGAACAAGGTCCCTGGGTAGTGCCAATGGTTTGTGCTCAACTACTAACTAAAGGCTGGCCCTTAGAACCCACCCAGTGGCACTGCAAAAGAAAGGCCTGGTGATCTGCTTCCATAAAGATTAGAGCCAAGGAATTCTTATACAGCAGTCCTACTCTGTACACATGGACTTGCCATGAGTTGGTACTGACTCGATGTCAACAGGTTTACCATAATAGCATTTACCCAGGAAACTATAAATGATTGTTTGAATTGTTCTACTGCTAAGCACAGCTATTTAA